CCCTTTCTTTCTCCTTTTCGTTCGCCGCCTCCTTCCGCGCCCCCCCCCCCGCCCCCACCATTTTCAGTCCCTCCAACTCACGGTTTCGTCTCGCTCTTCTTTTTCTCTTCCCTCCGTCGTTCTCTCGTTCCTTCCGCCTTGGCTTTCTGTCGCCCTTTGTGGCGAAGGGGATAAGGAAACGCTGACGCTCGTGCAGGAAGCGCAGCGAGGGCACGTTGCGCCGCTCGATCGCGAAGATTCGGACTCCTCGTAAATGTGGAGGGTGTTTTGAGAAATTTGCAACGTGGCGTTAAATTCGAAAGCGAAAGGTTGGAGATTGGCGGGGGCTTCTTTGAATGGATGATTTTCCTACCGAGCATTCGGAACTTCTCTTTCGTTAAACGTAAATTGAAATTATTTCCTAATGCCGCGGTGTTCGAAGGGGTTGCAGCGAGATTTTTCTTTTTTTTTTTTTTGTTTTGCCTTATGGAGACATTTATTTCACAAATAACGAAGATTTCTTTCGTCTAGCGATCAATAACTATTCGTGCAACATGTTAAGAGAGAAGTTCTACACAGAACATGTTGTTTGAGTGTCCGATCTATACTGAAATACACGGATAATCTGAGATGTTTAAAATATAATTAGTTTCGCTTGTCAACCATTTGCGCTGGCAACTGACTGCGGACCATAACGAGCGGCCGTACCGTATAATATCGCTTTCTTTTTGAACTCGCCGGTATGACGAGTTTTTCTATCACTGGATATGTGATAAATTTATTATTTGCTTTGTTAATCTATTATATATACTGCTTAATCAATAACTTGACTTTTAGTTTTAACCGCTCAGAGTCGTTTAATCGCTAAAAGTGTCTTTACTTTCAAAGCAGCTTATGTCGCAGAAGATGTGGCATAAATATGCGAGAGATGCTATCTGCTATCTGCTAATCTCTTCCTTCCCTAGCATAATCGAGTTATCCTTTCTTTTCTCTCCCCCCAAAGTCGTCGTCGTCGTCGTATCCTTTCAGCATTTGCCGACTTCGTCGTTTAAATATTCAAAGGGAAGAAACAGTGACACCTGTGCAAAAACTTTGCGTCCGTATCTCTCCGCGTATAAATAAAGCATCTCACGGATTAAATACAGACACGTATGTACGTATATATGCATACGTACGTACGGTATGTCCATATCGTCCACCGAGCGAGAATTAACTTACCGCGCAAACGAAATTATATGCGCCAGACGCGGCTCACGTCGCGTTCAACCAACGAAACTGGAAAAATTCCTTCCCTCCGCCCGTGGATCTTTTAAATCGTAGATAAATTTCAATCGCGCGATTTGACGTTGGATTCCGAAACCAAAGTCGGTTTAATTAGAAATAGAAGAACAGATTAACTAGCAATCTGCCGGAAGATAGGGGAGAGCTTAAGAGGAATTATTAGTTTCAGTTAACTGGCTTTACCTCGGGGATTCTTTCTGACGAAAGGATATCTCCTCTGAACATTTTCATTCTTCGCATTTCAAGGTGTACTAAAATCACAGACATCCGTTAAATTAATTTTACGACACGGACAATTCAATTTCTTCAGCGTCAAAGTGTCAGTTCATTCTGAAATAAATTACTCGCGTTTGTATGCCAAATCGAAGCCCTATAATCAAGAATGCAGTGCCATGCAGTGTAAAAACCTTCACACGCGAATGCTACTTCAACGGCCTCTCAGTCGTTCGGATATAACCGAATTTACTGCCGAGCGATAAAATCATCCCACGGATATTTTCCACAAATTTTAAGAATCGAACCGAACACTTACACACAGACGGGGCACACCGTCGAGAAGATTTCCCCGGTATGAATGAAACGAATCCAGGGAATCAAGTTTTACATGTGTGCACCGCTGTAATCCGAGCGAGATACGAGTCGTGCTATTGAGTCGAGTATCATTGTGGAGAGGAGAAAGGAAAGATTTTATTCCCGGGGGAAAGATAATTTCCAGGGGGAGAATGAATTAAAGGGTTACATACCTTTGATAAAGTCGAGGAAATTGATTTATTCCGTTATCGCGATACCCTTTCGGATACTCTTGCGGAATATCCTGAAAAATAATCAACGCGGAGTATTTGCCAGCATCCAGTGGCTTTTCTCGGAATGAAGTTTTCAAAATCTGTAGGTATCAGAAATATCTGAGTGAATTCAGATAAAAGTTCATTCTTCCTTAATTTACGAGAAACTTCAGTTCCATAATATATCGCGTCGACGTTCGCTGATTGGTCATTTTCTCACCTACTTTCATTTTTATTCGAACGCGATTGATCGATCGCTAATTTGGTAAATGGGTCGGTTATTCCAGGACGAAACTACCCCATCTTTAGACTTATAAATCTCTCACTTTAACCACTTGCGCTGGCAACTGATTGCGGACCGTAACGAGTGACCGAAACGGTATACGATAATTCGTCGCTTTCTTTTCCTTTTGAACACGTCGGTATGACATCACTGGATATAAATGATTGAGAAGTAGTAAATTTATTATCTATTCTGCCTGGGTTATGTTTAAATATATTTAAAACTGAGAAAATATTGCAATTTTGGGACAAAGAATTCTCGACGTGCGTGGCACGTCATTTCAGCGCAGGTTGTTAAAAATGGTCAAATGTTCCTAATTCCCAAGAGAGATTCTTGGTCTTAATTTTCTGAGAATAATCTAACCCTTAAACACTATAGACATCGACACAGAAGGTCTTTAGACTGCTCTTATTTACTGCGTATTTTTATGTAAAATTTCGTATTTCTGAAAACACGAGACACCAATGATAAATATCATACAACAAGTATTCTATTTCCCGAATTTTCTCATAAATTGTCTACACTTTAATGTATATCTGTACTTATATTTAAATTACGTGTACATGTATATTTGCGAAAGTATTTTTGCTTCTAGTCGATTTATTATACAAATATATAGAAGTGTCAAATAAAGATAAAATTCAATTATTCTTGCTTAATATGGACAACCTAGAAACCAATCAGCGTAAGTCATTTCTCATTAAAAATGAAAACATGTTCTTATTAAAAGTAAGCATATTTTTCTCGCCAGAAACCTCCAATCAGCACAAGCTAATTGTAAAATTATGATTACAGTATGATAATGAATCGATTGCGTCGACTGACGACAAATGAATTTTAATAAACAGGTATACAAAAATATTTACGTGATGCAAGTGGTTTTCAACTTTTTAAATCGTCAACGTTAAAACAATTGGCTCACTCAAAGAGGATCCTCATTCAATATTAAACTTTTTAGACTTTTGATAAAAGCAAACGCAAAAGATTAATGAGAAGTGCCTCACGCTGTTTTAATTTCTCAGCTCTTCGTACAATTGGCAATAAAGAAATTCCAAGCGGGAACGAACAACAGTAAATGAACTGCAAAACGAAACATAAAAGAGAAGAAAATAAAATGAAACAGAAACGAGGACAAATGGTCAACAGTAATTAAGAATCAATTTACGGAAAGTGTGCCATGGTAAAAATAATAGATAGATGAAACGAATTTATTGTTACATATCAATCTTACATTGTTTCCGAAATCTCTGGTACGATGATGTAAGTATGAGATGTGTCTTTGCAAGCTTCAGTAAACGAGCCTGCCTTCTTGCTCTCCTCCTCTTGATAAGTGCCATCTGTGACTCCATCAACTGTTTTGCCATTTTTCACAGAATTATTGCCAGCGTGGCGAGGAGACTCCACTCTGTCAGAATTTATGGTTCCTGTGACGGTAGACCCTTGTGGTAAATTTATCACGATATTAGGCTGCGTGAGAGAAAATAACAACAGCATAAAGAAAAAAAAAAAAAAGGATGTGAACAAGTTGTTTGGCAAGTTCAGTGTGATGTGCGATTTATATCGTGGAACAGTATGCTAATTGATAGTAGGCAATGAATTTTAGATTATATTCGTACAAAATAGTCCTTGAAACTTTATGTAATTTAATGTAATCTAACATATTTTACCTTTTTCTTTTTTATATTTTTGACACGAATAATAGAAAAGGAATGCAGATTTTTAATTTTGAACCTGTTACAGAAAATAATTGTGTGCACTGTTCCAAATGTATGATACGTATTGCGTTATTGAGCATTTATAGATATTCAAAAAGTCATTAACAATTTATGATGATGATTTAGACTCTTTGATATTTCTTTAACGTTTCTCGAATATTTTAGCGATCGTTTAAAAATGTCTAAATGTTTATAATGTATTTAACATATAGAACGAGTGTCATTGAAAAAGTTGCCTAATATGAGAGCCATTTTTTAAGAACAACTCTTAAGCTATTTTTTTACACATTTTAAAACTATGATATGTTTTTGTTTTGTTAAACATAAATGAGGTCACAAGTCCTGTCGTGTAATTTAGGAATTTGAATCGCTTAATTTTGAAATTCAACTTCATCAACTGAGAATATAAAATAGAAGATAGAATTAAATAGCATAAATTTTTGTAATCCCATTTTCTAATTACTATAGTCATCATGTAAAAATCCGACAATAGTTGATTAGCTTAATTTTTAAATTTAAAATCCAATGCAATTTATTCATCAATTTCAACAACAAAGAATGTAAAATGCAAAATAGAATTAAGCGCCTTAAATGCTCACGATCCATCACAAATTGCCATAGTTCACATACGAGAGATGACTAAAACTTTGGAATTTAAATTTTAGAATTAATATTTAAACTCTAATTTTATAATTTGGAACTGTAAGACGTAATTATGCATAATGTCAACGATACAGTTTGATTAAAAATTGAAATCCAATGTTCTAGCTTATGTATCAATACGAGATATGGTGCTTATATGTGCATCAATTACGATCTTTACACGCTACCCTTGCACTTTACATTTTGCATTCTCCGCGAAACATCCTCATAAAGCTTCCAGCGAGGTGTTGCTTCCAGCATCCAGCTGGTTTCTCATAAATTGTAGAAGGAAATCTCATTTCCCCTCGCGGGAGTGTCTAATGCGTTAAAATCTTCTCGGCGCTTTATTTATTAATTGTACGTCTTCTGTATCGTCCTGGCCGTGTCCGTATTACCGTTGCACCTTTACGAGCATTGAAGTTCCTCAATATGCAAATTAAACGGACGCAAAACCGGGAGTATCTCATTATTCTTTGACGACGGTGCCCCGGCGCATCTGAGGATTGTGTAATTTCATTTTGTACAGTAATTAAGGGAGCCAGAAATTATTCAATTGATTTATTGCTTGTGAATTAAGTGACTGCTGATGCGAATTAATCCTGACACGATATTGTTTTATTTTTCACACGGTTGAATCATTAGTTTGGCAAAGTTCTTTTTTGGAAAAGAGAAGGGAAAATTGCTTTGAATGTTGTGCAAAAACGATCTTTATTCTTATAATTATGTTTAATATTTAATGAATAGAAAATATAATTCGTACTGTTTCAAAATGGCTGCGTGAATCTTTGCTTCGAATTAAGTTAATAAGATACATTTTTATTGTGTTAAAAATATCGTGAGATCGTTTGTTGCAGCTCTAAAGCCTATAAACAATGAAACGTACAAAGAAGTTTTCTTCGTTTGTCATTTAATGATCAGGAAGAAACCTTCTTCATTTATACATTTATATGTAACAACATTAATAATGATTTTTAATAATTCAACTGATACGATTTATTATACATGTATTCATTCAAAACGTTGGATCATAATATTTCTGTAAATTCATTTATCTATTCAATTTCATACTATTTATTCCAATTTTAAGTTCATATAGAAACTGTTCAATATGGAACAAATTTCATTGACATAACATTAACGTTAAATTAATTTGAATTAATCACGTTTTCTGTTTAATATTAATTTCAATTAGTTTAATATTATTAATTCAGTTCAATTCATTCAAATTTTGTCGCTCTTAAATGTCAGTCGTTGGTGCATTAAGGTCAACAATCTATATATATAGTACGTTACCTGTAAATTTAAAACATTCTCCAATCCTATGGTTGCTGGTCTCGATCTCATTGTCAGCGATCTGGATAAAGCACTGGAGGCAAATTGCGATTGAATGTCGGTGGCATCCTGGTAACTCAAACATCTCGGTCGCCTCGGCACTTCTGCTGGTAGCACTCTTCGTCTTTGTTTCGGCAACTTGCTTCGAGCCTGTAACGATTAATTTCTTTACAGTTAAAAAATGTATTATTCGCAGAAATACTAAAAAAACTACTTTTTCTTCTGGCAACTCATCCTCATTGATAGGATTCGCCAAGAAGTAACGAGTATTGAATTTCTGAAGTAAATTTAAACTGAAGGTCTGTAACTTCGAATATTAAATATAAGTATTGACAGCGTTTATGAGCTTTTTTTTCCTTTTATTGGTACGAAGTTCAACGCATAGATCATTTTTGAATTTACTTTGCTTCTGGTTACGACCAACAAGAAGTTGCATTTTCGTGCAATCCTGCTTCATTATTTACGAAGACGCTGAACGTCAAAGAAGGTTTGTTAAGTGCATGGTGACGATGCAGGAAGCAAACTTGGTTCAAGAACTTTCATAAGATATTTGTCTTATCGATGATAAACACTTTGGAATACCCGTGGCGATGTTAAAGCCTGTATTTCGCAATGAGGAACATTGCCGAATGTTGCAAATTTCAAGATCTAACTTGTGAAGAGAACTGTCTGTGGTTAATCCACTGAAGATCAAGCAACAACAATTTTCATAAAATGGAAGAAACAGCAACGAAAAGGAAATATCGAATTTTTTTTGGATTCTCCTTGCGATAAAAAAGATACTTGATGATACAAATTGATTAGAAAGAATTCGCAGATGAAATTACTGAGATGAGATGTTGTCCATTAATTTATAGACTCATCCTTTTGAGTCTACATGGTATCCTGAATAGTTTCTAAATGTTTGACTTTAATATTCAATATAATTTTACGATTGTATTGTTTATATATTTGTTTTAAATTTAGAATAGCTAGCAACAAGCACGATGCTTGTACTAACTAAACAAATCATTTCTGAAGGGAATAATTGCACAAGTACAGTATTTAAATTAATACGGTGAAAGGCAAAATTCATTGGCTCTCACTGGACGGAGTAACTTCGATTACGTGGAAATTTAAATCTAGAATTCTGCGCGCAAAAGTCCAGAGTCTTTGCTAAATTTCGAATGTCCCCGTTTGGCCGAAGATCACAGGTCAATTCGATACGAGGTGCCTCGCATCAGAGATAATCACAAAGGCAATAAAGCCCAATTAAATTTCGAATTACGTCGGCGAAACTTAATTTCCGTGTCGTCGATAATGCTTCCTCCTTCACGCGTTCATTACTCGTCGACCGGGTATCCTCGAGAACCCGCGTCGAAATAAAAAGTCGTGCAATCTCGAAACGTTTAATTTCGAAACAACCGTTTCCCTCCCGCCGCGAGAACTTTCGAAATGCTGGCCATCGCGGCCGAAAAACTTTCGAGCTTCCTTAAACTCACCGAGCCGCCGAATCCCGCCGTAATCCTCGCCGAGGTAAAACGTTTAATACCGAAGTTCGTGGATCCGGCAAAGGGTCCGGGTGTGTAAAGCTCGCTAACGACCTAGGACAGTGGCGAACGATCCAAGTCGAAACAATAACTATCTTTATTCACGACCAAGGAAATGAATTTTGTTCGCGGTGTCTTAACAACTGGGCCAACTTGCGTAGAAAGTTACCGACGAATACGAAATTGAGGAAAGCTAGTTCGACGATTTTCATTCTCTCAGGGAGAGAAATGAAATGTTTTGTTTTTATTAAAAAAGTGTGTTTTAGTCTATTGGATGTATCTTAGTTTTATATATTTCTTACGTCTTATATATATATTTTTGATATTTCAATGTTTCTTTCAGAGTGGTTTGTGAACTGATAAGTTTTTGCAAAACAGAGATCATAAAATTACGAAATACGCAATGCGTTTAATTAATTTTTTTGTCACTTTGAGAGTTGATAGGATTTCTTCATATTTTTTTGTTATTGTTTGTTCAATGATTTTGTGAATCTTTTGCTATAAAATGATTTTAATTTTATTTCTGTCTATGGCAATGTTTGAACACTAAGGTACGAAACTGTACACTGTATATAATTAGGTATATACGTAAATATACGTATATATGTTTATAAGATCAAATAAATATGTCAATTAATGTGACAATGAATAATTGTTTCAAATTAATTATACATTCGAGATAAAAAATATTTGAAACAGTAATTGCAATATTCTTATTGAAATGAGATACTATTTGAAACTTTTTTTTCATTTAACAACAACATGTGCAAATATATTGCAATTATTTATTTCAAACACATAGATAGGAATTATAATAAAATAAATACGTCACACTTCGAAAATTGCATTGATCGTTTCAAATATTATTTTCGATACTACTTCTAGAAGAAATATAACTAGAGAAACTAGGGAGAGGAAACAAAATGTTAATTAAATATCATTTCCAAGGAATGGTTAACGCGACATGAAGATAACCTCGCAGACAGAGTATTAAAAATGATTTCGCGAAAATAATAAATGATTGACGAGAGGAAATAATCACTTCAAGTTCATCACGAGAGACACGTACGTAATTTAAATAAATTTCAAACAAACACCAACGCTGGCGTGAGAAAAATAATCTCTGCGAGTTGCATTTTTGTATTTTATTCGAAATGTTACCCGACAGAAGAGAGACGATAAAGCAGGTAGCTCGCCGCCGACCACCATTGTCGATTAATTGGACGCGGTGTATTTCGAATAACGTTTTGTAATCCGGTTCGGCGGCCGCATGAAAAATTCACACCGCGAAACTTCTCTGCCCGGTGGGAAAGTTTTCAAATTGGCTGGGCGAAGAGTGCAAAAGTTTACATGCTGTGCCCGGCTGAATGGACTTGGGCTTCCGTGTTCTTCGCGAACGCGTTATTCATCGTTCGCTGCTACCGCCGATACGCGGCAAGTTAATCCGAGTGAAAAAAAAAAAAAAAAAAAGAAGAAAAAGAAAAAGAACGAAAGGAAAATCTTCGCGCGTTCCCTAGCGTCAACTTTCTCGTTGGGAAAAACGGCGTCCGACACGGCGGTTTATTAAATATTACCGGCTCGCGTAAAAAAGTCCGGCCGCGAGGCAGGCGAATTTCCGTGTGACTGATGGGCGGATTTTTATCAAACGATAGGAGGTTATTTTAATTCGTAGGTTTCAGCTTTTGGTAATAATTTGGTATCATATTGGAAACTCTTCGATTTCTCGGAATTTTCAGGGACGTGGGTTTAACAGGAACTTAAATTATAAATTAACTTGAATTTCTGCTCGACTCATTGAGAATCGATTGGTATTAATATTCTTCTTATCATTCTATTAATATTTATCGATAGGAACTGTTATAATTTGATTATATTCTTAATATTCTAAACAGCCTCGCAGTAACTTCAGTCATGAGAAATGTTTGACATGTACAGTTTCTTTATGTCTCACAAAATTTAGAAATGTAGATCTCTGTTTTGGAACAGATGTTTCGAGTTCACATTATTATTGCGTCCTTCATATTTGTAGTCATATTTGTCATATGAAGGACAAGGGAAAAATATCTTCTAAATTAATAATTTTTCGACGTGCACGGTTTTGGCAAAGATTAAAAAAAAAAAAAATACAATTCCATTTAAAAAAATCAAAATCTTTACAGCCAGCAGAAAAATCAATGACATCGAAATATGCGCCATGCATCTCGATATTTCTCATTATGGATAATGATAGTGACTTAAATTAATAATTAAGTGAATAGTAATAATTAAGTGATACTCACTTATATCAAGATGATAACATTAGTACTATAATATATATTATATGATAATATTAGTATGAACTTAAATAGTATTTACTTCACAGAACAAGAAATTAGTTACATTGTCAGTTTGTAAAGTTTTACAATATATTATCTGCTCTGATGAATCCCTTCGAACGTTCAAAATAAGACGTCTAATGTCTCCTTTTCAGCAATAGTGTACATACATCGTTTTAAAAAAAGACAATGCCTGCAGGATGTTGGCCATTCGAATATTTTTCATCCTCACGATTTGAAAAGATATTTGCAGATGCTGCATATATATATACGTATCTCCAGAGGAGAAAGAAGGAACGTACGTTTTCGAGGCTGAGGTACGAACCTGCGTGTGAGAATAAAACATGGAGAAGTTGCTGACGATAACGGGAACCGGAAGGGCGATAGCTAAAACGCCCGCAATGGCGCACAGTCCCCCGATGAACATTCCGGGGAAGGTTTTTGGTGTCATATCGCCGTAACCAACTGTCGTCATAGTCACCAAAGCCCACCAGAGACCATGCGGTATGCTGTCGAAGTCGTTATGCGGGTTCTCCTACAAACCAAACGGAATATATGAACGGCCATTTTAAGATTTATGGCTCCGGGCCGATGAAATTCAAATGTCGAGAGTAAAAACGGATCGTTTCGAGAGTGTAGAGAATATTTGTAGTAAAATATCGTGTCTTATAAATTAATCTTCCTGTTCCTTCTTTTTTTTTCTTTTTTTTTCTTTTTTTTTTTGAGTATGCGTATTACGAAATAAATGGAAATAAATATATAATTGGACGTTGTTCGAGCACACAGGGTATATTGTGCAATCGCTTTGTTAGCTTCGTTTTATAGAAAAATCGAGTTTGGAAATTTATCATTACTGGAAGTATTGAATTTGGCTAACAAGAGATATTCTACGCTTGAATTTTTTCGACTAATTATTTCTCGATAATTTGCGTTTGGAAATGATTTTTAAAGTAATAACTTTTGGATATTCTACGTTCAAAAAATCATTTTTAAAGTAATTACTTTTAGAGATTCTACGATCGGAAATAATTTTGCTTTAGTAATTGCTTTAAAAATTGTTTAAAAATTGTTAAATACTCGACGTGTAGAAGTAACTTTTCAAGCAGATATTTTTAGATAGTCTGCGTTTAGCATATGAAAAATATGCCTGTTGTTCACGTTTTGAACTCTATCTTATCAAAAATATGTTACCTTACAATTTCGACTTTCTAGAAAATGAAGGAGCGTTGTCCCTTTTTTGTATACAGTTCTTAGATATTTCGTTTTAACATCGAGTGTTTTACGATATTTTTAATGTTTTCGCCGTTTCCGTAAACAAAGTATTGCAAAGGCAAAGGAAACAACTGTGTTAAACATGACAACAAAGTACACAGATAATTAAATCATTTACGTTATTGTTATTGAGCAAGATAAATGAGAAACAACTCTTGTGTGAAAAAGCCAACGAAACATCGATTTTTCTCTCTATTGCAGTTTGTCAACGGCAGAACAGAGTGCACAGGGAATTAATTTGAAAATTACTTCATCTCGTGACAATGGACGAACATACACAGTTACAAACGTGCCGCGAACTGGAATTTTTAAAATTTTCCATAAATTTTTTGCACGTGTAACATCGTGGCACGAAAGACCTTTGTCTGCATTTCAAACATTACGATACTGTCCTGTACATGTTTAGAAATTCGCTTGCACCATTTTTCCTTTTATCATTTATCAAAATATCAGCACGAGCAATGTTCAATTATATATTATGAATATGAATCATGACAATAATATGAATATACAATACACGTATCAGAAATATTTTCAAAGTGTATGTATTATGATTTTAAAAAATTGAAATTAATGTATATATATCATAAAAAATTTTTTTAAATATCATACACAACACCACAGGTATATAATGCAACATTTAAAATTCATAATCAATTCAATATCATTATTGTTTGTGAATTTTAAAATATTACAGAATATTTAAAACGATTATCTTGATATCTCAATTGTTTAATTACTTTCATTGAAAATTGACTTCTCTTAATAAAAACAGACTTTTCCAAATTACTGTTGTTCCTCTACGATGATAACTAAAATTCTTTCGAATCTGTATGTGACTTTTTAAATTATATTCCTTTTTATAATTTCAATTTTAAATTATACACTTTTCAAATTACTATTTAAATTTCTTGTCTCAAGTACTCCAGTCCATCGCAAATGGCAGCTAGTAACCGAAATGAGATTTCCTCACAAACTCTGCGATTTCGTTACATTTCGAGTGAAAAAAAAAAAAAGGAGAAATGAACGGAAACATAAAGCTGAAAGTCGCATTCGAAAGTTTTCTTCAAGCCTCTTTCAAGTTCGCCCTCCTAAGTCAAATCTTTCAGAAGATTCTTCTTCAGGGGGAAAATAAAAATTTCCTTCGAAAAATACACGGATGGGATTTTTCGCCGAGGGCGTAAACGTCCCAGTTTATGAGGGGTCAACTCCTTCACGAAAGGAGCGTAAATGACCCAGGTCGCCTGTGAAGGATTAACTCCTTCACAAAAGTGCCCAAGGAATTCAAAATGAAGCGAGCTCTCGCCGGCGAAACTTTCGATGATCCCCGAAGCAAAACTTCGCTCGTGGGCTAGTTCGTATTTTAACTACTTCCTAAATTGAAACGTTCCGTCGCCCAACGCACGATACCGTCGTGAAAGAGGGGAGTGCCTAAGCACTTGTCGATTCTCGTTCTCGTGAGGACGAACTTACCTGGAGACGTTCCGCGTAGAAGATTAGACTGGCGAAGACGACGATGCCCAGGACGAGAAAGAAAACCAGCAACGCCAGCTCCTTGGCGGACGCTTTGAACGTATGGATCAGGATTCTAAGGCCCGGGGAGTGTCTCGTCAGCTTGAAGAGCCGCAGAACTCGAGCTATCGACAGGATCTCCAGATACAGGCTGGACTCGGTGAGGAACTCCGTGTAAAAGCTCAATGTCGCGGCTAAGTCTATCGCGTTCACCGGTGACACGGCGAATCTCTTCAAGCTTGGGCTCACCTGTAATCAAATCGATTAATGGATTAGACTAGGAGGAAAGTCTAGAGTTGGTGCCCTGCGATTATTCTGATGTTGTCGCCTCTATTTCTGTGTCTTAGGTCGCGGCGTAATATCGGTAATGAAATGGCTGTAATGAATATTATTGACAGTAATCGATAAATTGCCAAATGCTAAGTGCTAATGGCAAAACTGTAGGAACATAAAAATATAAAAGAAATGTTGTACGACGTTCGTTTGTATACATGTTTTGCTTTTGTTATAAAATTGTAGGCAAATATACTTGCAAGATATTTCTTATTGATTTTTGGATACATAATATGATTATATTACATATTGTGCTATATTATATGATATATTATATATTGTAGGAAGAATTGTGCAGAAATAAGAGATCTTGAACACCAAGTTTCTTCTTCTGTTTCATGATAGGAAGATGTTTTCCATAAATTGTTAAAATCGGCGAAAACTGTATGGTATGCTATCAAAATGGTATTTTCAAGAAATCAAGATAATTGGCGTGGAGATTGAGCTTTGTTCAGTTCTATGTTTTGAAACTTATCAAAATAAATTATGATAGACACTTTGTAATATAATACATTATTATACCTAGTAATTATATATAATAATATAGTAATATGATAATATATATTGTTACCGAATATAGTAATGTATTATATTACAAAGTATCTATTTTAGTGATTCTCAAAACATGGAACTAAATAAAGACAAAATAAGATGGAATTAAATAACATATATACATACTATACAGGATATAACATATATACATACTATGTATACAGGATATGATAATATAATATGATAACAAAATATAATGATGTACGCTGGATATGTATGTAATTTATCTACAATGTAATATTATATATAAATATAATAATAATATATTAACATAATATAATAAAATATATATTGTACGTATATCATATACAGTAACTATAATATTTTGGAATGATTGAAATGTCTAACCCACCGATTCGAAAAATTTGATTAATATTATTTGCATGAATGTTACAACCAACAAAATTCTTATTAAGATCGTGGTCATTTCATCTACAAGAACCTGACAATTTTTTTTCTTTGTTAATATTCTGACGTTTTTACAAAATTCAAATTTTAATGGATAGCAAAGAGGTTCGACTCAACGTGAATGTAATAACGAAAGATGAATGTTCCTCTACTCGAATATATTCTCATCCGAACGTTCTCCTATTAATACGAATTTAATAAGGAAAGATGAGTTTCCCCCTGCTCGAAAATTTCTCTGTCCCAACGATTATATCTCCCTATTAATTGAAGATTGTTAATGAAAATTCAATGATTGCGCGATTGATCACTGTGAAGCGAATACAATCAGGATTTTACAAGTACAAGTGAAATCTTTCGTTGGTATTTTTCACGTATATTGTTCCATTTCTATAAATAATATTTCTATATAATGACATATCTGTAATATATTTGATTTCCCTACTCCTACAAATGAATGAATCAATATAATTTTAGATCAATATAAGATGAATATTACTGACTTTGAATTTTTAAATGAGAACAGAACTGAACCAGCGATTATAAGTTTTGTGTAAAAATTTCTTACTACTGCCAATGATAAAATAAATTTCTTGTTACTGGTACTATTGAGAAAAACAGAAAATAACGCATCGAGTAATGTATAGTATCTAATTCTTTAATTTCTAAAGTGGCTTTACTATATTTCGTACAATATTTTGACTATAATCAAGATTGTAAACGATAATAATCAGAATTCTTTTTGTTGTTCCTTAATTTTATTCAAAAATTCAGGAAATAATATCGGTTTTAAAAGTTGCCATAGACTCTGAATAAAATTGAAAACGGGCTACAGTGTGTCAGATTTTTATATTCTGAGTTAATTTCACGTGTCTTTCGTTGTACGCTTAATATTCTGAGTCGATAAAACAACCTCATTACTATAACACGGAAAGCAACTGAATATTTGTTACTACAGGCAAATAAAAAAATATTTGCAACTTTGAAAAATTGTTCAAATCAGCATTAATATATTTTTATATATTTCTATATATTTTTATATATTTCTATATATTTCTATATATTTTTATATATTTTTTGTATATTTCACTATTAATAGCAATTAGAAATGATGCCCATTCAACTGTGCTCTTTTAAATAATTAACCAATTGTTCAAATCAGCATTGATATATTTTTATATATATATTTTTTGTATATTTCAGTATTAATAGCAATTAGAAATGATCTTCACGAAGCCCATTCAACTGTGCTCTTTTAAATAATTAACCAATATATACTACGAAATAAAAAATGCGTTTTCATTCCCGTTGCGCAATATTACACGATATTTCATAAAAATTAAATATCTCGTTTCGTGTACGCGAAGCGAACGAAATTTCGCGTGGGAGTGAACGTATTAAAAAAAAAAAAAAAGAAATCGATAGACGAAATCGTATTCCGGTGGCCAAACATCACGCGAGACACAAATTACACGAAATGATCGCGAGTCGCGTGCAACGTCACCGCATTGCGTTCTATTATTCGTTTTGATTTTTAAAAGCCCGGGCTCGTCGAGGCTGAAAGCTATTACTCCGTGACTAATCATGGCCCAGATGAAACTGCGATGTGAAGTTTAAAAGCAAACGTGGTATTTCACTTTAGAGCTTAGTGGAAATAAATGTATTTTTAATTCCGTCGGGGGGGGGGGGCTAGATATTATTTTATAACATTGAAGACACGCGCACGTGTCTGTAATTTTCAATTGAATTTCAGGTGGATCTCAATGCGTTACAGAATATAGCAATAAATCGTGTATCAGATGTTCAATAAATCAGGCAGTGTTTTTTACATTTATATTTAATCTTCAGCGGGGAGGATTAACGAATGATTTGTTACTCGGTCGGGAAGCAATAAATTATTTTCGGTCTGGATTTACTTTCATAAATGTAACTTATTTCTGTTGATTCACTTTCATAAATGTAAATCTGACACATTTTGTAGACGAGTAAATGTAGCGTCAGTCAGTTATAAAAGTTTACACACATCTGGGCAAATTTTTAAATATTTAAGGGAGAAACGAATGTTTTAAACATTTCATATGTATTAATTTATTTGTTGACTGAAAGAAAACAACGTTCCTTGTGGTTTCTTATTAATGATCGCTAAGAAAATGTAAATGAAATTACAATGCAAAATGCATACATTGAAGTCAGCAATATATGTTCTTCCCATTATTGCAATTGTAATCAGAATCAATTTCATTTGCTTTGCTGTACATGCAATAATCGATAGATTTTTGTAGGATCGTACTTTTAATTGAATGTAAGAGATATTGTCAATATTCTAAACTTGGTCCAATTTTAACAAAGTAGAATAATCAACGTTCATGAAATGTTCTTTTTACTATTTTAAATATTTCAAATTTGACGGATGTATGAAGAGCTCGTGACTGAATCTACTGACAACAAAGTCAAAGAAAACTCGACTTTCTTAAAAACGAAGTCCTCTTCTTTCTTTCTGACTTATTTTTATGTGTAAAATCAATCCCCTATTTAATTGTACTACCAATTACAGTTACATAACACGATATATTAGTGGAAAAACAAGATTAGATCCAAATGATTTATTTAAAAATTGTCAATATGTATTTAGAAATATACCGATTACGTTATACTGTAATTGTGATATATTATAAATATAATTCATTATATACTATACGTCATAACTATACTATATAATTTACTGCAAATTACCATAACAAACATGTAAAAATACATTAAAATATTATGATGTATTATTAATGTATGTATATATTTATAAATACATACGAACGAAATCAGAAAGTTACGCTCGTGGCACTATTATTATTTCTCTTTTTTTTTTTTTTTTTCAAGTATAATCGTAAATCTGACGCATAAAATATTAACCTGACAGTGATTGAAGTTTGTCATAAATCATCCTTAGGAAATTTCTCCAGACATCCAATTGCAACATTTTCTGCAAATGGTTCTTCAATCGTAATATCATTTGCGTAACTTCGAGCAAAATTCCTTCCCCCGTAAATGTTTTCTTTCGCCGGTGGTAGCTCGTCACTTGCGGTAACCCACATTCAAACCAATTTTATCAAGAAATAGCCGAGGCTGTCTGCCACGCTAATTTATCTCTGTTAGCAATCTAACCCCGAACTAACTGTTTGTCCGAAATGAATTTGTTTATCACATGCCACACGTGGCAAAAACCTGCTTTGTTCTAATGCTGTGTTCTACTGGCGTCTACCACTTTTGCCTTCTGTGACTCACGTCTGATTGAAATGGATGTAATTCCGTCGTAGGGTTGCTTCGTCATTCACTTCTTCTTAGCTTGTAGAAAATGTAACGATAACAAAAGGTTGTACAGTATAATTATCATTGAAATTGCCACGTTTCGTTTGGCTGTTTTTACGTTCTTACGTGGTATTCCTATGTTTCCACTCACGTCCATTTTCTCTTTTTGTTTTCTCTAATATTTCGCATCACTTAATGAAACCTTTACTATATTATCCAATCGGATTTCAAGTCATATATTTGAAAGAAATTATTCGAGAGGAATAAAAATTTGCCTCGAAAAATTCACACGGCTTAGGTGACTGCAAATTGTCAAGGGTCTGTTTCATTTTGCCCTGTGTTCAAACGTGTTCCTATACAATCGCGTCTCATACCGTGCAAATATGTACGCAGCATAGATAATTAATTACTTATAATGGAACGCAGAGCTCCACGTGCAAGATATGATATTTGCATTAATGACGATTTCATATTATTTAATGCATATACTGCTGTAGCAAACTGCGTAATATAATCGAGCTAATTAATGTCTGCAAAACGCTTGACATTTACTTATTATTATAATAAAGTGCACGTAATCAGCTTTTATTCAACATTTCTGCCTTATTGTAAATTACGTTGTAATTGAAATCAACTTGCACATTAAAAATACATACAATCAGTATCAGTCTGAGAGAGTCTACATGCGCATGGAAGATCGTATTTTTGTTTTATTTATGGAATAGATCATTGTCAATATTTTAGAAATTATCTATTTTAATTAGAATACATAAAATGTTTACCATTCTTTTCTTTCAGTTTTAACCCACTGTATTGTAATTGTTTTCTCAGCACTTTGAGTGAAGAAGTATAAACTTTATTAACAAAATTTTTATTATTATTTTACTAAATATATTGATATATTATGTGTTAATAAAATATGTCCTTTTTATAGCAGATATATTTTCAAAGGTTTGTCTTGACAAACGTGACATTTGTTCTGAATTATTTGTATTAAGTTAATTGTTAATATTAACCAATATGTACACTGAATCTTCACGAGAATGAATTTAATAACAATAATTGAATTTTGAAACTGATCTCTCCGAGCAATCTTGTTTGTTTCTACTGACAGAATTTTCCTAATATTTTAATGCAACTTTCCAATAAAACTATTTCATTAACTGTGGAGTTTTATTGTTTGATCAGTTTCATTAACTAACATTTGATAAATATTCGATAAATATTCATTAAAAGAAACTTGCATGAAATAAAAAAGAAACAATCGTACGTGACCGAGAAATCATCGGCAAGACTCTCGACGAAAATTCCAATGATTCCGGTATTAAGGCGTCGAAGAGAGCGATACTTTGTCTCGTGGTCAATACGTAGAAAAAGGGATGTGCATGCTCCGTTTCAAGCAGTAACCTGTCGTTGCCATAAATATCCAAGTGTCACGCAAGAATAGAACAATTTCGTACGTACCAGGCAGCGAAGAGTAATCTCCAAAGTGAACCAGGCGTTGCACGTGTGCTCAAGGTAAAACAACACCGGATGAGAGTCGGCGGGATCCGTGTTCCGGCTGGACCCGATGTGAAGCGGTTCGCTGTTCCGTTGATTATTGTTCCTCGACGGTTTCGTCGTCACGGTGTGACCCTTCAGGCAGAAACAGAGAACCGAGAGACAGATGAAAAGTATCGAGACACCGGCTATGCACTTGGCCGTGGTGGACGAGTACGGCTCGTCGAAGAGCGTCCAAATCCTCGGCCGTAGTCTCTGCCATTTCGTCAATGTCCCCCTGTTGTACTCCTCCTCGCAACCGAAAAGTCGGGCGATCTCCTCGTCGCTCAGCTTCTCGCCCTCGACGTCCAGCTTGTCGAGAATCGCCAGCGTTGCCTGGGTCTCTCTGTGCACGCTGTACGTGCTCCAACAACACGGCTCCACCTGAAACACACGTACACACACTGGGAATTATACGTGCGGATTGATGATTAGAACTTGGCTAATTGATGATCACGTGGGTGGAGAGGACTCGGTGCTGCAGTAATAATTTCAACTTTGAGTCGATTTTTACCATTAATAATACTATAATTTTAGTATTATAATTTAATATACTACTAATTATAGTATTAGTAGTGTTAATATACTACTAATTATAGTATTAGTAGTATTAATATACTACTAATTATAGTATTAGTAGTATTAATAATTATATTAATACACTTATCAATATACTACTAATTATAGTATTAGTAGCATTAATAATTATATTAATACACTTATCAATATACTACTAATTATAGTATTAGTAGCATTAATAATTATATTAATATACTTATTAATAGACTACTAATTATAATATTAGTAGTATAGTTACTACTAATTGTAGTATAAGTATTAGTAGTATAGTATTATAGTATTAGTAATTAGTATTATAGTATAGTATTAATAATCAGTAATTTGATATACTGCTAATTATAGTATTAGTAGTATTGATAATTACATTAATATACTTATTAATATACTACCAATTATAGTATTAGTAGTATAGTTACTACTAATTATAGTATTATAGTATTAGTAATTAATATTATAATATAGTATTAGTAATTAGTATTATAATATAGTATTAGTAATTAGTATTATAATATAGTATTAGTAATTAGTATTTTGATATACTACTAATTATAGTATTAGTAGTATTAATAATTATATTAATATACTTATTAATATACTACTAATTATAGTATTAGCAGTATAGTATTATAGTATCAGTAATTAGTATTATAGTATAGTATTAGTAGTATTAATAATTATAGTATTTTTTCATTAATAATGCTATAATTATAGTATTATTAATAATAATATAATAATATATTAATAATAATAATAATACTATAATTATAGTATTTTTACATTTAATAATTTTGCATATTTCTGGATCGACTAATCCAATTCGTTCAAAAAATAATATTTATAAAATTATTTTTCATCCATATTTTATAGTTAAAGATGTAATTACAATTAGTTTTATTTTATTCATGTTTATACATATTAATTTGCAAAATACTTATTTATTAAGAGATCCAAGTAATTTTAAAATAGCAAATCCAATAATTACTCCATCATATATTAAACCAGAATGATAATTCCTTTTTGCTTATTCGACGATTACTGATAAATGATTGTGCTATAATGACAGTACTTTTAGTCATTAAATTATGGATAATTGTGTAATATGCAATAATTTAATATTAACAGAAATGATATTAAAACTATCAAGAGATGTTAGAATATATAGAAAAAAGTACATTATATATATATATGTATAAAACAAAGTCATAATATAGTATCGAACAAAATTTGAATAAAAACCTTCTATCCTAACAATTAAATGATTTTTATTGATCCTCCAAATCAAAAAATCTATTTAACAATTGATCGGTAATATTTCGAAATTATAACTATTCTATTCTTTTCTTTTCATTAAATTTCTTTTATACTACAAGCATGCTTTTAAAAGTTGAGGTGTATTTTATTGACTCTAAGCCTAAGATATAATAAATTTATTGTTAGATTTAACTAAACTAAAAAACTAATTATCATAAACTTATCGTGCAAACTAAACTAAAAAACTAATTATCATAAACTTATCGTGCAAAGATGCATGTCAAATAATTTCTTGGTTGTAACAATTTTTTCAATTATCGAACGATTATTAATTATAATATGAGGTAGTCTTAATTAACACAGATGAATTCTCTTGGGTCCCGTTAGGAGGAAAAGGGATCAGATGAAGACAGAAAGGTTAATTGATATTGATTATGTTAATAATTAAGAAAAACCCAGTTTCTATTATTTTTTGTGTTTCGCGCTTAATGCACGATTATATTTTCTGTTAGTATTCTCTACGAATGATAAATTATTAATTCGATGTAGATGAAATATCCAAATTCCTGATGAAAACTTTTTTTTGAAAATAATATAATATAATTTCGCTATTGTATAACTCTTATTGTACAAAGTTACTACCATTATACTGCAGATTATTATGCACATTCACGTGTTTTTGAGAATGATACGAATCAATTCTCGAGTAAGATGAATTCTGAACTGAATGAAATCCCTATTGGCTTTGTAGATCGAATTTTCATTAGCCCTTTTTGGGGTTCATTAACCCTTTGAATGTCTAGTCCGTACTAGAGTGTTGTACAGATAATCTCATAATAAAATAATGGCCATTACATGGTGTAAAATCGTCTTTGGAGAAAACAAAGATTATGAAAGCAGAGGCGTTACGCTTTAAAATAGAGACGAAGTCGATTGTCGCACATTTTTCGTTCACGAAGTTAAAACAGTTCAAATTATCGACAATTTTTTTCATCGTTATTGATTCAGTCATGCTCTTCGCTAAATAAGATTTTCATAGTTGATTGAAGAATGCGTGTACATTCTCATCATATCTTTTCAATTTCTGTCACTTTCGTCGCAACACGGTTGAAAGGAAGTGCACAGAGAATTCAATAATTTTGTCTTCCTCTGAGAAATATAATGAAATTACTTATCGGCTGCATTTGCATCGGATGTACGGTCGATACTTCAAAAAGAGATTTGTGGTTTGTTCGGCAATTGGCGACAACTTAATGCACGTTGTCGATCCGAGTGTAAAATCAAACAGTGGATGTTTGTGCGATAGAGGCTGTGACCCGCCACGTTACCTCGATAATGGTTCCATGGTTTCTGCATTTTGAACAAGACATTTTCCGCAGCAAAGCGCATTTGTACCCGTGCTGCTGGTCAGGAACTATAGACAAGCAATCAACGTTAGTTATGCGGAATCGTTAACGCCTTTATGAAATAACGCAGTGGCGTTTCGAAGCGAATGAACGATCGATTAATGCGATCCGTGGGTAAATTTTATCGTCCAAATATCGTTCCATTTTCTATCACGTTGAATAGGAATGATAAGGGACAGGAGATTTTTGGTATATATCATATAAATAAAATATCTTGTACTTTAATTAACATATGACGTAATGAAACATCGCTTGTAATTGTGATTATTAAAATTATTAAAATATTAAAGTTATTAAAATATTAAAATTATTAAAATATTAAAATTATTAAAATATTAAAATTATTAAAATATTAAAATTATTAAAATATTAAAATTATTAAAATTATTAAAATTATTTGAAACAAATTTGGAAGTGCATGATACAAAATATTTATTGTAAATATATACGTTAATACGTATTTAATAATTAGTATAAAGTTAATAACTAGTATATACGTATTTAATAACTGGTATAAAGTTAATAACTAGTATATACGTAATAACGTAGTTAATAACTGGTACAAAGCGTGAATAGTATGCAGCTGTTTTAAGCAAGTAACTTGTTCTCATCTAGAGACGAGATATTTCATCTGTTGTTTCATTGAAACTCGACATACAGAAATATTCGAACACTTAAGGAAATTTTTACGAATATATTACATGTATTATATAAAACATTTTAACATTTAATTGACATTAGTGAGATTTGACTGTTATAATTATATGATCAGTTTAAAATAAATAATAAAAACACATGTACATATATAAATTATAAAATATTTAATAGAAATATATTAATTTCCAGACATCACAAAAATATAATATAACGTGATCTAATTGTAAGTATAATAATATTATATTACAATTATATTGTAATATAATCTTTCGTTATATTAATAAGCTTCAATTTTCAATATGACTATCTTCAATTTTTTACTAAATATACTTACAAACATCTTCCAATTTCCATACAAGTATATTTTCAGATTGATTTCAAATTTTCCCAATAACAGGATTTGATAACAACAGTGAATTTCATTTTACGAACAGCAATGAAACTTTAAGACGTTCGATATAATACACATAATAAAAGACGTTTACAAGGCACCGTATGTACGTATATCAATTACGCTCGTTACAATATTATCTTCAAACTTGAGCGTTGAGGAAGACTATCCTGAGTCATCCTGTATCGATTCCTGTTTCCTTCATTTCCTCGCTTTTTTTCCCCTTTCTCCGGCTCAACTGTACGAGCGTAATCACATAGAATTCCCACAAAGCAAGGTCTCGTTTCGCGAGTGAAATAAAAGGTAATTACAAACCTGATTAGAGTCCAAGCCCCAGAAGTCGAGTTCCTCTTCGAAAAGCGGACCACAAACGTCCGTCGGGTAATGAAGCTTTCCGGTACGATAGTAATTCAACACCTGAGCAAAGACGCCCGGATGACGATCGTAAAAGTATTCGTTCAAAATAGGATCGTAATTGACCAGGGCCTCTGTTAAACGCGACAACCTGGTGGCTGGTATTTTCTTCAACGTCGACTTGTACGTTTCGTGTCGTACACCGCCGACGTTCAGGATCACCCGGTCGTTCCACCTGCCATCATCTAGCTTCCTCATTTTTCTGGATTCCTTTGGATCGCATTGTAGAAGAGAAACCTCGATTGATAACTCCGGCTACCGGATGGCCTTCGTATCAGGCATCGAAATGGCAACAACTATCAAAGAGAAATTTATCGTAATGATAAACTGGAGTAGCTGACCAGTCCTTATACGTATTTTTTTCTTTTTCTTTAAGTAATATATACGCGGTTACAATATTTTGCAGGCTCGAGCATTATTCAAATAATATACTTAGGAAATAATGAATTAAACAATAGGTATGTTATTTTGTTATTAGACGCTGTCTGAAATAATTAATTGTAAGTTTATTTGAACGTGAAAACGATTGTTCTCTAGAACTTGTTTCATTATTTGTTCATCAAATAACATTTCATCTTATTTATCATTTTATATTCGAATGAATTTTCATTCGAATAATTTCTCAAATACTTGCACTCATCTATCACAAAGATATAGATTTCAGATTATTTATCATTTTAAATGAGTAACTTTGATGAGAAATTATTTAAAAATCTCACACTGAATGAAATTACTTTTTCTATGTTATTTCTAAAATAACAATAGTAAAATAGTTAAAACAATTCATTACTTTAAATCGTTATTTTTCATTTGATTCAAAAATTTGTACAAGCCCAATGTTTCAGGGTAATTTTTAACAAAACACTGAAACAAGCACATCAACATGCTTCTCTTTTATATCATTAATATTCAAACACATTTATTATCTAAAAGTATACTGTTAAGTAAATAACTTGTACAGATGTATGCCATAGGGAGACTTATCTGATATTGACATCTTGATCAACGTCACTTCTATTATTCGTAATAAAAATGTTTTTAATAAAAGTTGAATGCCTTCGAGGGAAGTGTATTTTAATATCATCAGCTCTTTTTATAGATGAAGGCGTAAGTCACGTGACGATGAACTTCCTGTTATTTCTTTTAAAAATAGGATCACATACTTTTTAATAACCATACTGGAATCACTAAAATGGTCGAAATGACCATTTGTGATTTTTTTTCATAAAAACACACGATTCACAGCTTTTCATGGAAATTTTGTAGTTTCAGATCTTTGAATAGCTTTTCTAAAAATAGAGAAATAAAAACTTGCACGCTTTATTATTATATTATAAACCTGTCCCTGTTTTTTTACACTTTTACATGTTTTATACTTTCAGTCGCCGTGTTCAGAATATACATATTTTTAGCTTTCATTTTGTATAACATATCATATGAGAGACAAAGACAGCATGTTTCGCAAAATATCTGCTGGACTAATGGGTTTTCGTCGTAAATCGATTTATGCCTCTTTTTCTTCTAAAGAATGTTCAGCTACATCGATTAACGTATCAAAAAAATATGTGATTCTGTTCAAAAATTCGTACTTGAAATATTTTTCAAATATTCACCGGTAATAATATGACGTAAATCAGAATGTTAAATATCAGGTGAAACGTTCTGTACAAATGTAAAAGAAATTTATGCGATGCAACATTAAAATTTTACACAACTTTTCACAAAATCTTACACTTTTAAGTTACACTAAAATTAATTTTATCTAAGATACAAGACGACGTTTTCATTCACCGTGTTCTCGTCGTGGCGTGATATTTATTGCAAATGATAGTGAGCTCCTTGTGTCAAGTAAATTGCGAAAGGAGCTTGTTTACGGAGGAATTAAATTAGAGAAGCTGGTGGGAATACCGATAATAAGCTTCCAATGCAATTTTTTAAGATATGACGTCTGGGATATCGGCCCAACTCGAGTGTGTATAATGTAACAGAAGTTTTACAGAGACGTTGTCTCTGTTGCAAAGTTTCTCCAAAGTGTTGCAAAAACTTCTTAATATCCCGCCGGTTGGTACGATACGCGTAATATCACGGAAATAGAGAATCTGGAGGAGCTTAAACGATTACTTACATCACACCGTATGGTCATTTCACCTATCAAAACTATTATCCACGCGAGGCTGATGCTTCGCAAACAACCAATAAAATTCCGCCCGGCGTTTCATTCTTTACTTTGCACATTATGCAAACACACATCGAACACGCGCACGCAAACACAAGGCGTAACATTAAAGAAGACAGCGGTGTAACGTGCCGTACCGGACGTTCTCATGTTTTATTGCTTGTTAGCGAATGTTCGGTCAATATTTTCATATTCCTATCGAAGTGGAGGATAGTCGGGAGGGCAATCGATATGTACTTTACGTTATTAAATTTACGACGATGAGGAGATGAGGGAGAGGTCTTCGAAATGCTGCGTCGGGCGCAGTTACGCTTGCCGTGACCACTGATTACTCGACAACTGGTTTTCTATTATAATCCACGTGAAAGGAGGACCGAGGAGGCGAGTATTACAACACCCCTGGGAAAGATCGGCCGCCAAGGGAAAATTGATTGGAAAATAGGTTGAAAATAAGAACCGGTTCCACGGAGAAATATGAGCCGTGCCCGTTCGCCGTGCAATTTTAAACGAAACCGCGTTCAGTCAAACGTAAAATCGTTGTATCTTCTTAATAGGTTGTAGGTTTCGAAGGGACCTTGATTCCTACAATCTTTCATTTTTCTCTCGCTGGATCGTGTAACAGTGTAAATTAATCATACACGCTTCCGTTTAAAAATCCTACAACATCTTTTATTTTCAGTTATCCTTCACATTTATCGTAAGTAATAAATAGCAGGTGTAATTTGCAATGTAAATTAATATAATAGTATTTTATGAAACATTATTTCATTTTTCTAATGGATCAACAAGAAGCGTGCTGTAAATTTATGATCATCTGCTGCAAGCTATATTTGAAGCAAACTTCTTTTTACATCAAATGAAAGAATCACATTTTCTTTAATGAAATAGAATATATAACAAAAAATGTACTTGTTCGTATAATCCTTTCATAAAGTTTCACTTGCCTTTTAGAACTTGGGTGTAAAGGTATATGTCTATTGTTGTTTATTAAAATTAAAAACCTAATTTATAAAAATGGAGTGCAATTAATTTTAATGTATTTTATACATGTTTGCATATTATTTAATGCTTTAATACTTTGTATATTTAATATAATTTAATATATTTTACATATGTTTGCATTCTATTTTTGCAATTGAAAATTCCTTCTAAATCTATAAACATCCGCAGTCTAATAATACATTATAATACAGCGTCAATTAGCTATTTAAAAGACTCGAGTTTTCCACGTGTAAAAAGTGTGTTCTAAAAATATCAGACATTGGAAAAAAGAACAGATAAAATTAGAACAATCCTCACATCGCCGCATCCTTGAATAAGAAATAACAAACTCATCATTTTCACGCATTACGATTAAAACGCACGAGTATTAGTAAAAATTCATAATTCGACTATTTACATTTGTTTTGACGAAAGATAAAGTGGCAATTCTTACCAATGGCATACTGCGTATCCGTTATTCATAGTTTTGTAACGCACAATCTTACGTAACCAACAATCTGCCGAGATTAGAATTCTTACTTGATAAAAATTAATGTATACACAGGTATTCGTTTTACACTTGAGATTCACAAACGATCAGAACGAATCGCCGATAGAGAAAATGTCGATCATTCTCCACAGTCGATCGAAGAACTCGAGTTTTACGAAGTGGAATAACCCACCGTGCGAACGTGGTTTCCAGTTCTATAAATTCGACACTGTTTATTTGCGTGGCCAGCCGCGAACGTTCAAGTTCCATCGACACGTTCCATCGACACGAAATTATTCTGTCACAAAAACCAGCTGAGAGGCTATGTATTTGTTTTCCAAATGTCGTGTTCATTTGCGTGAAAATTAACCATAAGTAATAAGTACTAAACATTAATTTCAGTATCGCGAACGTAAGTATGCTTAATTTAGTAATGAAGGTTGTAAGATGTAGTTAATTCATGTACAAGGTGAGAAAATTAGAAAAAAGGAGCTAAGGATCATTAAGTAATATTAATCACCAGCTTTTTATTCAACACATGAAAGAGACATACTCGTAGGAACTATTTAGCATATATTACGCATTAGCAAATAAATATCAGATAGCAAAGCTGCAAGATTTATCATCATAATTGTACTATTGTAACTTGTAATTAGAATTACAGATAGATACTAGTATTATGGAAACTTAAAATTAGAATAGTAATTAAAATTAGAAATTATTCCACAATTATAGAAACATAGAATTAAAATAAATTAATGATATCAATTATCATATTAAATATTATGTAATTATATATTATATAATTTACATAAATTGTAAAATTTATCAGTAAACTTGTACTGTTATACAGAAATATGGAATTAAAATAAATTACTGTTTATGTGAACAGTTTATAAATAAGAACATTTTAAGACTTATTGCAAATTAAATTTCATTTACCTATTCAAACTTCTTTGGATTTTATTGCAGTGATTCTGTGTAATATATCTGTATATATCACTGATCTATTAAATAAAGATTGATATTAAAAACTGTATTTGAATTTTAGTCTACCACGCTTCTATGCTTAGGAATAATTTTCATTCGTATTTGGAATGTACTTTGCGAATAATTAAATATTTTTGGAGCGAATGCTTCAATTAATATGTGCGTAAAAATTTATAAATTTTGATATGTGATGTTTGTAATGTGCTCCTTATTTACGACCAAACAAGGTATTGCCATCTGTTACATTCAAAAAGAACCGCGAGAAATTCTTTGGGATGTAATAGATGGCAGCATCTCATTCAACCGTAGACAAAATACACACTACTGTGTAATAAGGACAGTCATAATGATTAGTTCCATCATCTCACCGCTACGTGATGATAGTGTTTGAATGTTTATGAATCAATCAAAATTTCATTTGTAAAAAAACTAATCAACATGTTTAATTTATGATCTTTGGTAATTACATCTGTTCATTTAAAACCCTAAATTTATTTTTTATTTGAGCTTTGAATGCGTGCTGAATGTATGTACTATGTAGTTCATGAAGCTAACCTATTATGTATTAAAAAGAGAATTGTAAAGTTCTGACAATTCTGTAGCTTTGTATATTATTATTAGTAAATTTCAATAAACGTTTAGTTAAAGATAATTATTTATTATGCAATGATCTTTCCAGAAATTCTGAAATAAAATTGAAGTACAATTAAAGTACTTACATCTTAGAAGAATTTGTTAAAAGTGTATGTGATAGAAAATTAGATGGATTCAATAAACAAACAAGAACAATAGTTCTGCACAAAAAATATCTTACTCTCCAGTCTTAATTTAACAAACTCAAACAATCTAAAGAATTTATAATCAGGTTTGGAAGAATTGAAACTAATTAGAGTTTCTGGTAAAATTGTGCATCGTTCCAAATCTAATACATGATTCTACTATCTTAATAGAAATTTGAATCATATTTTATGGATGCATTGTCTAAGAAGAAAAGGAAGATAAAATATAATTTCAAAACTAGAGAAAGTCCATAATATCAATAGAATCTTGAAAAGTTTAAATGTATAAACAATAGACACATTTTGCATGAAATTCTTCTTTCGATAGCATGATAAATACTGTGCCATACATTATATTTTGCACTTCATGTAAAACTAAATATACGACGCAACAAAATGAATCACGCAACAAAGCATTGTTTAAATTCTTATTGAGCAAATAAAGATTGTAAAAAGAAACACATTCTCAAGTACTAACCTGGGAAAAGATCAGGATGTTTCTTTTGCTTCCTGCAATCTGCTGCAGTAAATATAAATATCACATCTAATTCAATTGCCAAAAACGGCGAAGTCAACATTATGAAGTGATTAATTGAAACGGTGGTTTAGAACAGTACCTATAACGGAACAATTTTGTTAAACATAATGAATATAATTTAATGGAATAAATTAAATTGAATTGATAGATCTTAAAACCAAAACTTACAATTGAGACACAATTATTTCACTTAGGACGAGTTTTGAAAGCTAAACTTTCAGACAATTATCTTACTTATTAAACGGAAAAAGTATTAAAGAAAGGAGTTTCTCATTTCTTGTTCCAAGACGCGCGACTTTTGTATGAAATGCGCGCGCAATAACTTTAACCTCGTACTGATTACAGCGCCAATGAAACGGCGAAATGTGCAATTACATATTGCGATTCTCGCATAATCGATATTTCTCGCAATCGATCTGTAGTATTGAAATGTAACCATGTAATGTAAAAACGTTAGTTTTTGGCGGGAAGCAGAGCAAGAGGAAGTATCATCGAAAAATTGTCAGGTAAAAGCTATAATCAATGGCTCTTATACTTGTTTTTGTATTACTGAAAACAACTGTAAGAAAATTTAGAACAGTCGTTTTTCATATATTATTATTTATCACTTCATGCATTATTATTTACCTGTATATGTTGTTCAATCATGAATGTTGGTTAGAAATTACGAGTTCTCATAATGCCATTTTTACAAAAATCAGAGTTTTTTTGTTAATTATTAGAATTTCGTGTTTTATTATCTCAAATTTTTTGAACAATCATGACTGTGTCATTTCAAAAATAAATAATATTTTTAATTTTTGTAAAGATTTCTCATTACTTCCCCTTCTTGAAAAAAAACTTTACTTGCATTTTGAAAATAGTTTTATATTTTGCATTACATTTGACTCCATGCTCTGTATTTTATATTGATTATCATTAATCAAGAAATAAAGTTTAATTGAGAATTTAATTTGTGGTTAGTTCAATATTATTGAAATTTTTTCTTTACTAAACACTTTATTATTTCATTATTTCAAACTTTTCAGATAGTTAACATTTTGTTGTGTGATTCGGCGTTCCTTATTTCACAATGGACTCGACGATGACTTCTCCTGAATCACAACTATGACAACGTTCTTCGTATCTGATCGTGAGTCGCATGCTTTTTTGTTTCTCTAGTCACTTAATCATGTCGTAAAATAAAATGTCCAAGTTGACATGAGTGACTGATTATAGTATGTATAATTTTCGACGGACATGGCGACTATAGATATTTATTACACGCACGACTAATAACACTGTATTGTCTATTTTATCTATTATTCCAATATAGATTTTCTTGTATTATATCAATAATATTGATATGAAAACATTGCGTGCCTGAATAATGCATTAATAATTAATGAGAATATAATACTGGCGTGATATTAAAACATAGGAGATTGATATGAATAACATAACACATATCTGCAATTGAAAATGTATACATTTCTACAGTTACATTCATTATAATCAGAGATGGGATCTAAGTTATGGTATTAATGGGATTAGAGAGATTCTATGGCTCAAATCGAGACGAAAATCAATCTGGAATTGGATGGTGATTTGCAATAAGGGTTTACGTTACAATTTGGTCCAGATTCAGTTATCAGTATAGTATAATTTTATGAAGCTTGTTTTATTGCAAATAATTCGTCAAAAGTTGATGTAAAATAGAAAAAAATAAGCACATTGTGTGTAAAATTTATGGAAGAAGTTAACTTTAGTATTTAGAAGAAGTAACTTTAATATTTTATGTTTTTCGTGTATTGTAAACATAAAGAAAATTATATAGATCATATAATAATTTCTTTATGTAAAGTTGAGCTTTCCTTAATTGAATCTTTATTGTTCGAACGTTATATTATCAAAATAGAGTGACTCTCTATCTTTCTATCTACTAGTAACAGACGAGTTTCTATTCTGTTCTGATAACATAACATTCAGATATTAAGACTCGATGAGAAATATTAAAATTCGAAAAATAGAGATTCACATTAAGTTTGAGAATGGTAATTTGATTACCACGTGGAACTATTGTCAAATTAAAATGATATAAGCGTTCGTGTGCTAAATGTAACGTAGACTCTCATTCGAGATCATTCAATTTTTACTACATACGTAGCTCGCCCTTTTTCCATTTATAAATTCAGAGGTGAAATGTACATTAAGCGACATCTGTCATCGACAACTCTTTGAAGTCGCGAGACCTCTGACCTCTATGTGTAAGGTCCCATACTACAGAAAGATTATCGCAAAGAATCGAGAGGTCGCGAGAACGTTGTTGCCAACAATTGGACCGAAGCAAACGGTACGATGCATCTTCCGATTGTCAAGAACAGTCGTGGAAACGTGCGAGCAGGTTGTTTACCCGCACGCGGGCAAAAAACTAGGATAGAGAATGGCCTGTCGGTTCGTTGAACGCTATGTATCACGCCAAACGGAAATGCGCTTCAAGAAAAATGAAATACGACGATTATATTGAATAACACACTGCCACTGTGATCGGCGATCGATGTTTCTATTTCTACAATTATTTTAAATTAAAATGAGTGTCACAGAGAAGAAAAAAAAAAAAATGTTTAAATGACATACAATGAGATGGCGCTCTCATTTCACTTTTATGAACAAGTGTAATATTTTTTGAAAATTGAGAACGTTTCGTCGAAACATATAAATTTTTTCGTGGCAGCCAATGTGTCAAAATTTATTGTCCCTGGAATGATTTGTTATCTCGTTTGACAGCTTTTTTTTTTGGAAATATGTATCTTTTCTTTTTATAGCGAATTAATTCACAAAACGTTAGTTAATTCTTTATAACAAAAATTTTGCTTAGTTACAAGAGAGAAGGATTATTTTTAATTGATTATTGGTTTAAGAGCCAATCAGCATAAGTTATTCCTCATTAAACACTATTTGCGT